GGTGCAAATACTTCTTGCACAAATATTACTGGTAACTAAATTTTCTGCCACGCTCATCACTAGTCGTTTTTCTCTCTGTACAAACACTTTAGTCGTAATTAACTTTGCAGGACTACATACTATGCTGATACCTGTTTCGTCCATGCTCCATATTGTCAAAACATTTGCTTTCAGTATAGTATTGTTACTTATAAAATATTATAAAATACTTATCAAAATACAAAGCCGATCAAACCTTATCAAAATACAAAGCCAATCACGACCTGTCATCGTTGAAAATTTAAAGAAATGTTTTTTCATGAATTTTTAACTGTTTTCTTGGTTCAAAATCGAAATTGCGAACTTCAGCGAAAGCATACTTATCCGAATATGAATAATAATAGATTATTAATAGTAATTAAGAGTAATCCGAATATTCGCAACTATTTTATGAACATACAAAAGTTGATGAAACTTATAAAATACAACGAAATAACAGTTTTCAGCTGTAAATCAATGGTTATTATATTTTGTTTTTGTATTAAGCATTTGACGTCTAAATAAATAAGTAAATTAAAACTTGTAAAAAATTAAAACTTTAACTACTTGGAAATTTATTTAAAATGTTATCAAAATAATTAGTGCGGTACCGTGATGTAAAAAAAAATTTAAAGCAACGGTATAACGTGTTTTTATGAGAAAATTCAAATAAACAGTTCCGCGAATTTTAATATCTACCAATCAGATTTCTCTGCCGTGACTTTCTAAATTAACCAATCAGAGCTCCCTACCGTGACTTTAAGGAAAGAAATAAAAGCAACGGTACCGTTGCGCGAGCAACAGCGTTATATTTACTGTGACATGCAAGTCTGAAAGAATTTTTTGAAATATTTTATATATTGCAATCAGTAATTTTTATATTAAACTTGTGTCTTAATTAACTTTATCTTAGAACATAAAAAACTTTTCCTTAAGTCATAAAAACACTTGTAACTATCACATTTACCAACATTTACTTTGACAAAGTAAAATGGGAGGTGTTTAAAAAATATGAAAACTTATAGCACTTATAGTTTGAAAAAAAAGCAAAAAAAAAAATTTATCTAAACTTTTTTTCTAAAAATATTTTAATTTTCTTTTTATTATTTAATTGAATAATTAACAACATTTAAATTTTTTAAGTTGTAGTTTTCTGCTAATAATTATTATTATCAGTATCAATAATAATATTTAAAAACAACCAATAATAATTGTAACAGTTTAAGAAATGCTTGCTTTTAAAAGTAAGTGTTTGTAAAGGTTCCTAACGTTTTTAATATTATTTATATTTATATTTTATTTTTTCAAAATGCATTATTATTTTAATTTGTTTGGGATATAGTATTAAATTAATCATTTTCTTATAATATCTGGATTAATTGTTGTTTAAACAATCAAAAAATTATCTATGCAAGTAAGCTAGTGTTTTTTATTACTTTTGTAGTCACTATACTTATGTATAGTGTTCTATACTTATCTACCAAATAAGCAAAAAAACACTATACTTATGTATAGTGTTTTTTTGCTTTTTTGGTAGATAAGTAATTCAACCTTTCAATAAACACAGTGTTTACAGTTTTCTGTGAATTGAAACTTTGGGGACCAGAAATATTTCCAGATATCACAATTCGCAATCACTTAATTTGAGCCTTGAAAGTATTGCTTCTTTTCAATTATTTCAAATGTTTTTCCACAGTCTTTAGACTTTAAGTCTTCAAGTTTTTAAGAAAAAACTTTGATATCATGACCCCCAGGGTTGGGGTCAAATACGTATGTATATTTGTATCTGTTTTTAGTAAAAATAGGCTAATTTAGTATATTTGTATTTGCATTGTATTTGATAAAAAAATTTCTTAAACTTTTTTATTTATACTTGATTGAAATATATTTGTAATCCCATAAACTAGGTTAACCAGTGTTTTTTTGGGAAAAACCAAATAGTTTTTGTTTTTTTTAATAATTTTTAATACTAAAATAAATTAAAAACTTGTTTTCAAGGAATATTTGTTATTATTTCTTGTGGCTCAACAAAGATACCAGCTCTAACATTAGTCTCGGACAGCTTGGAAAAATGCTTTCAAGATAATTAAAAAGTGCCAACAGCATGTCAAAAACAGTGACAAACTGGTTGATGTGACTAAACTTGTTGTGCAGTAGTGGCATAAACATTTTATGAGATCTATTAGTGGCTCTTGCCCACAAAAAACACAGTTTGTTGTCGTCAGATCTTTCTGTGATAGTGTGCCTTAAAGTCACAGAGTAGGAAGTGACCGGGGTCCCAGCCCAGGTTAAAAACAAGACTTATTGCAATCTCAACTATAATATATAATACTTTATATATTATAATTTTATTAAATACTGGCATATATTTATATACTTTTAAATTCATATTTACTTCCAACATGGTTGCAAGCAACCACTATTAAGTTATGAGTTACTTTAAAACAGAGGATAGAGTTAAAAAGCTAGGAAATGGTTAACTAAAGACTTAAAAAGTTGCAGGTTGTATAAAAAAGGAACACATGAAAATGGGTAAGAGTAATCAGGTTTTTTTGATGTGCAAAGATAAAACTGGATTAATAAAAGTTTTTATAGCATAAAGGATGCAAGTTGTTGAATAAGAAGCCAAGCAAAAATTAGTTTTGGTTTATCCCAATAGAGATGATAGCTCGTTTGAGCATTGACCATGATGGTATTTGTAGAAAAAAGAAAGAAATGCAACTTTACAATAATGGGAGTGTGGTTCAAGCTTGGCAGATAAAGCAGATCTAATTGCATTTACTATGTGCTTTTAGACTTTGTCTGAGAGTAAGAGGGTTGTTATTTGTCAATATAAGAATGCCAACAATATTGCAATAGTTTTTTGCAGTAAATAAATGAGTTTTGTTGTCTAACAAAAATTGTGGATTTGAAATCCAAACTTAAAATCCAAAAACCACTGAAAACCTCAGGCTGTTACAGAAGAGAGATCAGATTAAAAATTGGCTGCTTGTTCTAAGCAATCACAAAGTGCAGACTTTTTGTCAAGACAAAGAGTATAAAGTTGAGTTGCCAGCAAATAGAGCCACTTTAGATGTAAAATTTTTATGAAGATTGTTATTGTAGATAAGAAACCATACTGGAGCAAACAGAACCTTGTGGTATCCTAAAAGTTACTCGAAATGAAAAAGATTTTTAGCCTTCAAGAATAACTTTAATATTGAACATTCAACGTATTTGTCTAAACTGCCTGCTTCTGTTATTTCAGCTTTTCTATATTTTTCAGCAATTTCTCTATTATTTAAAGCTAGCTTTCTTTTATTCAAATCACAAACTTTTCTGGTAATTTTAACGTCTACTTCACCTATGTACATTTTACATATAGTTCTTTGGTCATGTAAGAATTTTAACTCCTTTTGCGGAACTTTCATTTCTCTCACACATTTACAATCTGCAGTTATAACTCTGAAAAAACCCTCAACATGGAGTTGGCACATAAAAGAACAAATGTAAAATAACAATGAAAAAGTTGCAGTAAATTTTTGTAATTATACTATACTTGATTTTGATTGGCTTAAACTAGCCCTTTTATTTATTATGACAATAAGCCGACATTCAAATGTTATCAGATATTAAATATTAGACTTGCAAAAATTAAAGAGAGTTCTGGAGAACATTTATTTAAGACTATGATGGAAATCTTGTCTGAAGCACAAACTGTGAAGTGTTTAATTGAGAATTAATTTTAGCATAGGAAGCCAGAGTGCTTTGGATGTTTAACAATGGGTTAATCTGTTTAACTGGTATGACAGAAAGAATATGGCCATTAAATTCAAGAGTCAAGTTAGAAAAAAAATATTTTCCAAATAACTCTGCCCTAGGAAGAAGTAAAAAGATCAGACCCATGAAAAGATGCGCAAGACAAGAAAAGGAGGCATAATTTTAAACAGATTAGAAAAAAACGTTGTATCAAACAATATTTGTTAGAAAAGATTAAAATGATTAAGGCATTAGCATGTAAAGAGTTAGAAGCCTCAGGGCTAAATAGTAAAGGTAAAAGTAAGAAAACTTGAAGTGCTGAAAATGCATATTCTTCAAGTTCAAACTGAAAATGGTGATGATGATGATGGCAATTATGATTATGATGATCATGTTGATCATAATGATGTTTATATATGCATATATATACAAAATATAACATGAATTTTAAATAAAAAAATATACTTTAGAACGTATAAATGTTTATGCAGCCCTGTTCACAAACCCGGCCCTAGCTATATTTTATCAAACACGGCCCCGGTCAAATTTCAACCCTGGTTTAAGAATGTTTTAGAAAGTTCTGAATGTTTTTTTAAAGTTCTAAAAATTGAAAGTTTTAAAATATACTGAACAACTGTAACAGTTTTATAAATATTCAATACCAAAGAGAAATTTTTCAAAAACACACCAATTCAAAATATTGTTGTACCCAGTCACGAAACCATAAATTTTCTACTTGTTTTCAACAAAACGGGTTAGGAAAATTTATTTTCAAAGGACAGAATATAAAAATAAAAATTTCTTATATAGTGCTATCCATTTATAATAGGTCAAAACTCAAAATAACATTTGGATACAATGCTTATTTAACAAACTGTATCTATTACTGTTGGGTATGTTTATATACAGGATTATACTTATTTATTTCTTTTCAAATTAGCTATACCATTTAATTTGTTTTGTGTAAAAAATAAAATAACCTTATATATTTCCCACCTTCTCAACAAAACATGAGCATCAACAGACAAAGAGAGTGTGGCATTTTTATTAAACTTATCAAAATTGATTTAACAAGGCAGAAAAAAAACTTGCCACGTTACAACAAACATTCTATTAAGCTGCATTATTGCAAATTCTAAAAAAGCTTGGACAGTCTACAATAAACATATGTTTAAAATACTAAAATATTGTCTGAAATATTTTTTTACAAAATATTTCTTTATATTTATATAGGTTAAAATTACCTTTTGATACCACTCTTTGGCTTTATTGAGTGCTAACTGTTTTTCATCATTTATTACATTATCACCTAGGTCAACCAAAAGGGGATTATCATTTTGAACTCTAAAAAAGTAATTTTTGCAAATATATTTAAAGAGGTTTTTTAAAAAAAATTTAATTTAATCTTTTTTAATTTTACTTGTTTTGTTTTATTTATTTTTAAATTTCTATATAAAAAATAAAATGAATATATCAAAGTAAAATATAAACTTTAAATCAAAAATGCAAAAAAATATATTAAACATATTTAAAAAAAATAGTTTATTTGTATTATTTTTACTTAATGGTTTAATAACCGTCTATAACTTGTTTTAAAAAATATACATTTAGTTAAATTTTTATGTTTAAAGTTAGTTAAAACACTTTAGGTTAGCACACAATGTAGATCAACAGAGGCTACAATAGTTAAAAGTATATTAGAGAGAAAAAATGGCTGCTGGAAATCAGAGAAAAATATTCAAACAATATCAAATGTTGGTTTAGACAATAGTTTTAGTTTTGAATACAGTTTAGTTACAGCTGAAAGAAAAGTTATTTTATTCTGAATTAATTTAAACCATTATTGATATATATTTAAAATATATTTAATAATATATACATATAACATATATATTCTAAAATGGATAAAAAAATAAATAAATCATAATTTGCATCATGTTTGAACGTGTTCATTCCAATCTTAAACATCTGTAACACACAATTTGTTTACTTATAGTTGATTACATCAGCCCTCTGAATTAGGAAAAATAATAAAAATATTATATAATATTAATAATATGATATATATAATTAATAACAATAATAGTTTTAGGTCAGCAAATAATTGCCGAACAAAAACTATTATAGATCAGCATCAGGTCAGTTCAAAATATAGATATAGTGTGCAAACATTTAATATTAAATTGATAAAAAAAAAAAAAAAAAAAAATCGGGGACTTTTCTTATAAATGTAGAGATTTACTTTAAAATTTGAAAAACAAATCTGACAAATTTACCATTTTATCAGGAATTTAAATAAAGCATTATTTTTGCCAATTTTATTTTAATTTTTTTTTTTTTTTCTTTATCTTCGCTTCCAACAAGGCTGCAAGCAACCACTAATTAGTGTTAGAAGTTACTGGAAGAGAAAAGATAAAATTGTAGAGCAAGATACAATTGACAGACGACTTGAAAGATTGCAAATTATATGAATCAGCAAAGCAAGATGAAGGAAGCGAATTCCAAAGAACTGATGTTCGAGCAAAAAAACTAGACGAACAAGAGTTTTTGGAGCACTTAGGAACAGTAACAGAAAAAGGATGAGACTTAATTAAATGACGAGTAACACGAGAAAAATTTTTTGTAGATGGCACAAGAGACGCTAGCTCTTTAGAGCAGTGCCCATTACAGTGTTTGTAGAAAAGAGAAAGAGAAGCAACATTACAACGATGTGACAGAGGTTGAAGGTTGGCTGCAAGAGCAGGTCCAACTATGTTTACAATGCGTTTTTGCACCTTGTCTAAAAGAGAAAGGGCATCATTAGAAGATCCGCCCCAGATATGGCAACAGTATTCCATACAAGGCCGGATTTGAGATTTATATAGATAGAGAATAGAATCCAGAGTAAGAAAGTGACGAGTTCGATAAAGAGAAGCAACTTTAGCAGATGCTAATTTTGCAACAGATTTGATATAAGGTTTCCAAGAAAGATCAGAAGTAAGAGTTAATCCTAGAAGATAAAGGGTAGGAGACTCATCGAGTACATTACCATTCATAAATATAGGAAGGTCTAAATTATTGCGATAACGATTGTCTGAAAAAAATTGAGTTTTATCTGAATTAAAGTTCACCAGCCATTGTGAGCCCCATGCTGTAGCAGAAGTGAGATTCTTTTCAAGCTCAGATGCCCCCTGCAAGCAATCAGAGGGAGTTGGCTTCTTATCGTGACAAGAATAAATGGTAGCATCATCAGCGAACAGTGCCACCTTAGATGAGAGAATATCTGGAAGATCGTTAATGTAAATTAAAAAGAGTATAAGGCCAAGGATTGAACCTTGGGGAACCCCTGAGGTTACAGAATAAGAAGAAGAGTGCTGTCCATCAAGGACAACTTTTATACTACGATTGGAAAGAAAGGATTCAATAATCTTAAAGATGTTTTCAGATACACCGTAAGAAGAAAGCTTATGGAGAAGACCAGCATGCCAAACTTTATCAAACGCTTTAGAAATGTCAAGAGCAATGGCCTTAACCTCTCCACCTTTATCTAATGCGCGATAAAACCTATCGGTTATTACTGATAGCAAATCAGCCCTAGAACAAGAAGATCGAAACTCATATTGATGATCAGAAAATAGGTTATGAGATTCGAAATGAGAGATTAAGTGTTTGTTAATTAAAGATTCAAAAACCTTGCTTATGATAGGAAGAAGACTAATGGGACGGTAGTTGGACGAATCAGATCGCTCTTCAGAATTTTTAAAAATCGGGATAACAGATGCTATTTTCCAGCAGGCTGGAAAACAACACTCTGATAAGCACTTGTTAAATAGTTTTGAAAGGATAGACGACAGCTCTGGAGAACACATCTGCAAGACTATAACAGGTATGTTATCCGGGCCGCAAGCTGTAGAAAAGTCTAAGCAGGAAATCACTTTAGATACAGAAGCTGGAATGATACGGATGTCGAGCAGTGGATCAACCTGTTTGACGGCTATATCAGGTAGAACGCAACTTGTGGAATCAAGAGATGATATTGATGAAAAGTTCTTGGCAAACAATTCAGCTTTGTCTTTAGGTGAGGTGACAAAGTCTGAACTATACAAAAGAGGTGGAATTACAGACTTGCCCTTATTATTGATACTATTAAAGATTCTTCTATTTAGATTCTAAAGTCACAAGAGCCTAATTTTTGTGATGAAATACGAGATTTCATGATCTGAGAATAGTGGGCTTTGGCATTAGACAAAACCTTTTAACAATGGTTCCTAGCAGTAATAAACAGACGTTTGTTTTCTGGAGAATTGTTTTGCTGATAGATATGGAAGTAATGGTTTCTATTGGCAATTGCAGCAGCACAATGTGAGGAAAACCATGGAGAAGAGTGAGACTTGACCTGGAATCGTTGAGAGGGAATAAAGGATTCCATGCCAGCCTGAATCCACGAAGTTATGTAAGAAGCACATTTGTCAACAGGAAGATGAAAGACTTCTACCCAGAGGCCATCACGAAGAAAATCACGGAAAGAGTCCTAGTCAGCTTTAAGGTAGTTGTAAGATGTACGATGATAGGGGGATTCTGATGGTAAAGAAGAATGAGATAATAGTTTTAGAGAGACCAAACCATCATCAGACGCACCTAAGGGTGAGTGTGAAGAAACTGAGCACTGACTAGGATCAGAAACAAGACATAAGTTGAGTAGAGAAGGTAAATGATTTGGGTTGTCTGGAAAGCGAGTTGGAAAGTTGACTATTTGAGTTAGGGATTGAGAAAGACAAAAGTTGTGGGCCTTAATGCCTGCAGAGTCACTGACACTAGAGCCAAGCCATTCAGTGTGATGAACATTAAAGTCACCGACAACAACAATATTGGCTGATGGATAAAGAATGAGGGCTTGGTCAATATAATCAGAAATAACATCAAGAAGAGTGCAGTCTTGAGATGAGGGAGAGCGATATAGAACAAAGAGAAAGTTGATAGAGTGAAGTGGTGCTAAACGAAAGCACATAAAAGAGTAGTCTGTGGATTCAAACCTAGTTTCCCGACAAATGGGTGAATTCTTACGAATGTAAATGCCCAGGCCAAGCTTGTGACTATTGGAGTCTTTACGAATTAAAGGAAGATAACCATCAACACTAAGATCACAAGATGAGACAGCTGAACTCAAATTAGTCTCACAAAGAGCAAGCAGGTCTGGTGAACTTTGCAAGAGATAAGACTCAACAGAAGAAAAGTTACTTCGAAAACCACGAATATTGGTGAATGATAGGTTTAGCGAACTTGGTGATGACTGTGGTTTTTTGTGTTTTATAGTTTTTGTTACTTTATTCATTTTTAAATTTGTTAAAGAACTTGACTCGAAACATAGATAGTACTCAGTACACTGTTTTATAGCCCAAGCAGTTGCCTTATTTCCACTAATAAACCCTAAGCCGTAACAAAGGGCTCCAATGTGGCCTTGGCAATGCACACCAAAAGTACAAACAGGGACACCATCCATGCGCAACATGGCACTGTTAGTACTCTGATATTTTTCAGCTGTTGATGGAATCAGCCTCTCTGAGAGCTACCACAGAGTTCGGGAAACCTGTCTACCAGCCGGCCTCAGAACCATAAAACTGAGTTTTAGAGCTGTACCCTCATTTGGAGATAATAGAATGAGTTGAAGTTAGTTATTTTATTTAGAATTTGAAGTGAAGAAAATGAGTTGAAGTGAAAGTTTGAAAGTTTGAAGAAAATGAGTTGAAGTTAGTTATTTTATTTAGAATTAATAAAACATTTGTTTTTTGATTTTTAATTTTAATAGTTACAATTTAGATAAAAAGTTTGTATTAGAGTTTAAACAGATTGATTGATTATTATTTATAATTATATATAATAAAAATATATAATTAATAAACTAAACATTTTGTGTATTTAAAAAAAAGTAAGTTTTTTTTGTATTATTTTATTTAGAATATAATTAAAAACGTTTGTTTTCTCATTTTTATTTTAACTATTTCATTCAGAATTTAAATAAAAAATTTGTTTTGCTGTTGTGTTTTTTAAATTAACTTTTTCAAAGCTTAAGTAAAAATTTGTTTTTCCGTTTTTAGATTAATTATCTTGTTTAGAATTTAAATAAAATATTTGTTTTGATGTGTTAATGTAATCATTTTAATTAAAACTTAAATGAGGTGTTTGTTTTGCCATTTTTAATTAATTTGAAATATCAAATAAAACTTCTAAAAAACGTTTTAAAATTTTGAGGTCTATAAAATCTTGCCAATTTCAGACACTGTTAGGTCGACATTGCAGAATGCTGACCCTAATTCAGAGGGCTGGTATACGTTAAATACAGAAAATGAGCTGATGAGTTATAAGTTATTATTAACTAAAATAATACCACAACAATAACATGGAAAAGTAGCAAATTCAATTGAATTTTAAGACCAAATTTGAATCGTATTTTAGGAAGTAATATTGAAACAGCTCAAATAGTTCTTACAATGTTTTGTTGTGAAAGAAGTATTCTTAAAGTATTGAAAGTATAATTGTAATAAATTATGTAAACTTTACTAAACGAAAAATTGGCAACCACAAATGGCTGCATGGACCACAACTGGCTGAAGTGACAACGAGTGAATGCATTATAAAAAAAATTTCAAGTTTATTCTAATTATTCTTTGAAACAAAAACAAAAAAAATTAACTTTTTTTTTTTCAAATCTTAACCATCAAGATATAACTTGGAGTTTTCAAAATTTTGGTTAATTCAGATTTTATATATATTAAAAACAGTTGAAGATGCTTTAGGGGTCATTGCATAATTACATAATGCTAAATGTGGCTATTTTTAAACCACCCACCCACCCTATCAAATTTGGTCACAGTTCCCTAGACCCACCCACCCACCTTACCTAATGTGACATCATTTTATTATTGTTCGCAAAATTACGGTGATTAATTTTTTAAAAACTGAATTTTAATTGTTCAAAAACATTAAAATATTCAGCCGTACATATTAACTGCTATTATTAAATCCATATTTTTATCCCCTAGTAGTGTTACGCTGTAAGAAATTACACAACTTTATTGAAAATGTTTTGAATTAAAACAGTTTTCAAAGGATCAGGTGAATAACTCTGGAACATAAAGAGGTATAAACAAAATTAAAATGTATGATTTAAAATTTTTTTTTCTAGCAATTCAATGAAATGCTTAATTTTAATTCATCCCATAAGCTTACAGCTCTGTCAGTTAGCCATGCTTCAATTTTTCCAGATATGAATGAACATACATTTTCACTAGATCTTGGTAAAGATCTGGCATATTAGTTGATTTATTTTTCTTGAACATGTGAAATAAAATCATAAAAAATTATTGTTTTTTTGACAAGAAATACAAAATTGAATTAAAATGTTATAGATATATTTGAGAATTATAATAGATAGATTTGAGTGACAATTTCTACCAAACTACAAACCTCAAAAATTAACAACACAAACACATTAATAATTACACATTTAAACATATTTATATAACCTTATAAACACATCAACAGTTAAACATCAAACTGTAAACACATTTTTTTATTATAAAAAACTAGTTTATAATAACATTAAAAGATATTGAAGAAATTATTACTGAGTTACTTTTTGGCAAGAAAGTTATTTTATTAAGAATTCAATATAATTTCCTATTTTTTCACCTACATATCAATATAACACAAAGTTAAAACGAACTATAACCTACAATGGAGAACAGGTTAAATATTAGTATTTAATTTCTGCTTGCAATCAAATGGAATTCTATTTGATTTCTCTTTTCTTTCTTTTGATTAATCTGAAGTTTAAAGGGCTGTTTATATGTGTAGGGCAAGCCCAGTTAACTGGGCTGGCTCACTTAAATAAGATCTCGCCATGTTTAATACTTATAAAATTAAACTAGTTTACATGACAAACAAGCTAGCCCAAATAACTGAGAGCTTGCCTAGTTTTAGATCCCACTCAGGTGAGTTAATTATTCATATAAAAAAGAACAAGCGAGCCCTGAGAATAATTTATTAAAGTAAAATTTATTTATAGTAAAGTATAATAAATTTATATATGTTTGGTTGCATACCCACATAATATTAAAATCCGAACATTGCGATAATTTATCATATAAAAATTGTTGCAGGCACTGACTGCAGTCAGTATTCTTTTGGTCTAGGTGGTCTATTATAAAATACAACTAGTGTAACGTCACCTTTATCTCAACTGACCCACTTAACCATGTCACGTTTTCAAGGAACCCACCCATCCACTCTCAACCATTACATAATTATGAAATGACCCCTTTTTTAAAATTAAAAAATTAAAACTATTTTTTCTAATCTTAAATATTAAGGTATAACTCAAAATTTTGGTAAATTCAGATTTCATTTAAATGTATTAAAAACATTTAAAGATCTTTATGAACCTTTTACAATCAATTCAACTTATTAAAACTTAAATTTTTTTAAACTAAATATAAACTTTTTTTATAGTAAAAAAGTTCTTAAAAAATAAAAAACTTACCTTTTTTTTTTTTTTATTTTTTTTTCCTCAATTTGTAACTTTTGTCTTTTTGGAAGTTTATCATACAGTTCATCATCTAAGTAGATATTTTTTTCATCTGAATCATTGCTACTATTATCATCTGACTCATTTTGTTGATCATCAGATTCAAACTCTATTTCGCTGCTACTATGGTATACATCATCATCAGGATTTTCAATAGTTTCTAACTCCTAGAATAAACAAATTTTATAATATGTAAACATATTATAAATAATATTTACAAATAATATTATATATAAATTTTTATAATATGATAATAATGCATAAGATGCATTATATGCAAATACTAATAAATTTATTTTAAGATATAAAACTAAATAGGTATTATTAGCATAAACAAGCCCAAGATAGTCAGAAAGCAGTATACCTCATTAAAATTTAGAGTTTTAATCAACAAAACTCTAACGCTGTCATAGATACCTCATTCGAAATATGATAACCAATCAAAAGTGTAGGAAAATGAACAACCCACAAAACCCAAAATCATAACAATAATTGAATAATATATGATTGCGAAGAGAATGTTGCGCAAAAATCTTAAAAATGTAAGCGACATAAATGTAAACATTTAATAAAGGATATAAAAATATTCTCTGAATAATAATAAAAGATGAAAGTTGTGCATGTGAAAATTAAAACAAAGCTGCAAGATAATATAACTTTAAAGTTCCTTGTAAAACAGTAATAATATGAAAATCAGCAGATAAATAATCTATTGATAAATATTACAATAACTAAATGTTGTAATAAAATAAAAATGCGGTAGTGGTGTAGTGGTAGAGCGCTCACTTCATAAACTAGTGGTTCCAGGTACGATCCCCACCACATCCCTGGTAGTACCGCGCTCAACTCGTTTCTCAGCGCAGCGGCCTTGTTCGTCAAGGTTCGTGTTTCGGAGTTATAAAGTTGAAAGAGGGTGATAGCCACAAAATAAGTAGCCTCCTCGTCTGTAATGGCCTTCTCGGCCTTGAGGAGGTGAATCAAAATAAAAAAAAAATAAAAAAAAAAAAAACAGATAAATTTAAGCCAAATGAGTAGTTAAAAAATTAGTTGTAAGAAAAATAACAATGATATAAGTCGTGATATAAAAACGATGTACAAAGCGGGAAAAAATATTGTTGAGAAGTTAATTTTTTCGTTTCGGTCTGAATTAAAAGTAACTTCGAGACCATATCTAAATCGAAATTTCCAAAAAGTAAAGTTTTCTCTACGGTCCGAATTAAATGTAATTTTGAGGACCATATCAAAATAACAAGGAAAAACATACATCATCAAAACATGTCAAAAGCCGTTAGTTTTTAAGAATTGCTCTTATATTTATATAGATATATACAATATTGGACAAAACAAGTCCAACCAAATAATGCTAATTTAGTTTCTTTATATAAAAGTGCTGCATTTTTTTAGTTTAGAGAAATAACAATGTAACTGTTTAGAGACAACATTCTTCAAGTTTTATTCATCACAAAGTTCATTATTTGTACATGAAAATTAATAAATTAATCAAAAGTATTAAAAAAAGTAGACTTCCTTCTGGACAAAACAAGTGCAACTCCACAAAATGTTGACCAAGCTGTATTTCGCTATCAATATTTCGTGTCGAATCCTTTATTGTCGATCACAGCCCTGCATCTTCAAGGCATAGATTCGATCAGGTGATCAATGAAACTTTGTGGAATTGCTGCCCAGGCCTTTTGGATTTGTTCAAACAGTTGATCCTTATTACGAACACCTTCACGATTAATTCTGCGGTTGATGATCTCCCACAGGTTCTCAATACGGTTGAGATCAACTTCCCCGTAGAACGATATTGGGAACATAGTCTTGATATGGTCCATTTTTTCACGCGATATTTATCACAAATACTTTTTTGTGACATTCCACTTGTGTAATCGCCAATAATTTTCTTTCTTAGTTCCAATCCAAGATTGTTGGGAGCCATTTTTGCACTTGAAGTCATAAAAAAAATTAAAAAAAATATTCACGCTTCTTAAGGCTTACCGTGTTACATTTACCTTGTGATGATACAATAATGCTCTGTGGAACACAATGTCTTGGTTGAATGTGGACTGTATTGATGTAATGAAACACTTGTTGTATTTCACTTCTATTGATGTTCTTCGATAAAACACTTTGATAAAACTCACTTCGATAAACTGTCTTGATAATACTGATTGAGTTCCATATACTGATTGAATTACATGTCAGTTTACATGTCTCTTATATAGTAAAATGAACCTGTGTGAACCTGTTCTGGAAGATTCTAGATGCTTCTTTTCGATGCTTCTGGAAGCTTCTGGATGCATCTGAATGTTTCTGAATACTTCTGGATGCTTCCAGATCCTTCTTCTGGAAACTTCTGGATGCTTCCAGATCCTTCTTCTGGAAACTTCTGGAAGCTTCCTGGATACTTCCTTTAGTTATTAAAAAACTTCTGTGACGTTGACACGGACCAGACTTAAGAAAATGAAACAAATCAAAAAGGTTGCGCTTGTTTTGTCGGCTGCAAAATGGCACTTGTCAACAAAATTCTGCCTGTGTGCTGTCACCTGTCAGCTGATTACTTATGTCATGGCATGCTATGACTCCTGAACTGTTTGCTGTGGTAGTATAGTTCGTTTCGTTTTTAAGACATGTAAAATTAGGAACACTTTTTGGATATTTGTTGCAAATGTTTTCGAGCATTGTTTGATGTTGGTTGCAAATGTTTTGTCTAATACTGTATATGTAAATATATATATGAATCCTAAAATGAAAAAGTCAATCTACATTTCAACCACATATTATCTATTAAAAGAAAATATTATCTAAATAAGGATGAGTTCAAACAAAGATAGTTTATCTATGAAAGAACAAAAAGCATGCAAATGATGTAATACATCAAATAATAGAGCTTTAAACAAAAATGTAAATTCTTATATGGGTAATTAGATTATTAGGGTAATTCAAAAAGACCTAATAAAGCACTGTAGAAAATCATTTAACAAGAATTGTTCAATAATTTTCTACACTGTTATTTTGTTTCTTCTCACCGATGTTGATTATATGGCTAAAGCAAAGATTGAACCTTAAACCTTATGACTTTTAACAACTGTATCATGACTTTTAACAAAAATTATGCTAACCATGTTGCAGAATTTGTCAAGATAATTCAGATAATTCAGATAATAACAATAATTTTGTAAAATTATTTTTATAAAGATTTTTAGATTTTAAGATTGAGATTTAAAATATGAAAAAACATAAATATTATGTATAAAAATATAAACAACCATAACATAACAAAGAATAATAAATGTGTTTAATAATTTATTTTCCAACTTTTAACATAATGCAAAACATTTAACTTTTAAAATAAAAAAATTATTTTTAATTAAAATGCCAAAATTGTATATTTAAAAGTTTTGATCACTTTATAACATATCTTGATAATTTTTTCTTTATGTTTTTGATTGGTGATAAGATATTTTTTATAAGATACTTTGATAAGTTTTGATAAGTTTAAGAACTATAGAATCGAAAAAGGGTTGTAAAAACAATAATAATAAAAAAAAAAATAATAATATGACTCCTTGACTGTTGAGGCCCTCTAAACCTTGTAAGGTAATTACAGTTAAAAAATACCTTTTTATTTTGAATATGTTGAAGAGAAAATAGATCTTGCTCATCTGTACCAATATCACCAGTATTATCTGTAAGTTTATTAGCAAGTCTTTGACGTTGTTTCTTTTTTTGTTCTCTCACATGCTTCTTTTTTCTAGTATAATATAAAATATTTTTAATATTTTGTATATACAATATTTTATATTACATATGATTCTATATTGCAAGCCTTCCCAGGAAGCATATGCGGTGGCACACCTTGTTCGTCCACACCTAAAGTAATTTTTCTAGGCACACTGACCATGGCAATGTGCATCATTTAACTTTTAAAGCGCTTCAATAATGCAAAAAGCAGACTTAGTCAGGGAGTGGGTGCGATTGCACTTTATTCCTGACCACGCAAATTATATCTAGTTGCAACAACTTGGCCATAGCTTTTTAGATGTTTTGAGAACATTTAAATTTATGTATGTTTCCATGTATGTCCAAAACTGTTTAAGATGCTAAAACAATTAAATTTGTAAGAATCTTATGTAACCAAATGCTCTAATAATAGCAAAGCGTTTTTAAACTAAGCGATGATTTACTTTTATTGATTTTTCAAAAGAAAATTTGTTTTTTAAATTATATAAAGTTAAGTAAGTTTTATTAAGAATTAAAATAAATAATTATATAAATAGAAATTTAGATTTTTATTTATTTATTTGTTTTCAATAAAATTTAAAAAATAATAATCATCAAAGTTAATAAAATTAATAATTAAACAAACTTACAGGCGACTGAACATAAACATATATATACAAAGTAAATTATGAGGGGATGAACACCACACCAGAGATTTGAACAAAACACAAACACATATATATAAAGTACTTACGGGTGAACCAGAAACATGCCATCGGTGGCATACAGGATAAAAGCGCCATTGGTGCCATACAGAACAAAAACATACAAATATATGAAAAAGCCTACTCACTTAATACACAAGCAATAGTGTGAAGCAGTTCCGCTTCCTTTTCATAAATATATTTTACCTTTTTAGATTAACCATTAAAGTTTGCTTTATAATATTTGATGCAATAAAAACGTACTTCTAGTTTGCAAAAGACAAAGTAAAATCATAATTTACTTAAAATGTAATATGCTTTTTATATATTAATTTACAATATATAATATAGTATAATGATCCAATGGACTTATGTAAAATATAAAGTTATTAAATGTATACATAGTGTGCAGTTTGGAAACTGATCATTATGGACCGCTGTTCCAGAGATCTGGCGCATTGAGGAATTTTTTTTAAATATTATAAGACACTGCTAAAAGTAAAGGTTGTTATAACATTTTTATTATAACGCAACGACTTAATTATTTCTTATGCTTATTCTACTTAAAAAAAATTGTTTTAAATATTTTAAACTTAAATTATATATTGCAAACTACGCAAAGCATGACATGGTTATAAAAATATTTTTATTTTTGTATTTTTTATATAATTCACCTAATGTTAGTTTTATTAGAACCTTGTTGAAATAAAACATAAATACTTAAATAAAAAATTATATTATACGCTTTGATTAATTGAAGAACATTTATTTTTTTACTAAACAATCATTAATAGTAAGTTGTTACTTTTTATAAGTGTCACTTGATTTGATAAAAAAATTATAACAGAGAAAAATTTAGAAATATATTATTCTAAATTTAATTTATTTTGATTTAGTTTTTTTCTTTGAAATGTTCTAAAAGCATCTAAAAAGCCGTAGCCATATTGTTGCAACAAAATATTATATGCTTGGTCAGATATAGAGTGCAATCACACCTGCTTCCCGAATAAGCCTGAAAAGGCTAAACCTATTTACTGAGAGAAAAAAAAACAATATTAAAAAAAGGAAATAAAATAGTAACAAAATATCAAATTTTAATTAAATAAACGAGAAAAATTTAATAATTAAAAAAAGAGAATTTAAAAAAATATTCTTTCATAAAATTGTTATACAAAATTTTTTTTTAGGTTGATATTTTGAGCTACTAAATTGGATACAAGTTGAGAAAAAAACATATTTTATACAAATTTAATAATAATTGAAAGTTTTGATATGCAATTTATTCATGATTTTTATTAGTTCATATAATTAAGAAACTAATTTGCTATGTATGATAGAACTATGAAAAACTTTGTTAATTTTTTTATGTTTATTTGTTTTTAAGTCTTTTTGCTTTTAAAAAAGGTTTTTTATATATTTGATGTTTTTTCTCAACACTTATAATAGGAAACACTTATAATAGGAAACACTTATAATAGGAAAGTAAGAAAACTGTTATTTATTTGTAAAATATATCATTTGTTTAATAAACTTTGTAACGAAGGAGGAAATTAAATAAAAGAATAACATGGTTTCTTTATAAATGTAAATTGTTTTATAAATATAAAAACATTTGATGCTTATCTGAAATTGTTTCCTTTATACTGCCAAATTTCATATGAATTACTAGAGATAATAAACATAACAATTGCTCTGTTTGAAAAAATGCATTTAAAAACTTAATAAGTAAAATTAAAAATGAATTTTTAAAACCCAATGCTTTTATACTTTATTAAAACAAAAATTTTGCAATCAATTTTTTCTGATATTACAATTTTATTTTATTAACATTTGGCTGTATGTGTGTGTAAAAAAAACAAAACAAAAATTCAGGAAGAGGAGGGTCTTGAACCACAGACCTACCGATTACGAAGTCAACGCCTTATCCAAATAAGCTAAACCCGTGTACAAGTTGAAAACCAATAATATACTTATTTTTAAAATTATTCTTCTTTCCATATAAAAAATATACTTAATTAAAATTAATTAAATTAATTGACTTATTGCAAAACTAATTATTGAATATTGTCATCAAGCAAAAGCATGTATGCAAAATTTGAAGAAAATCTATCATCAGGAAGTGACTCAAAAATTGATTGCAAGATTTGATGCTCACAGAAAAACAAACAAATAAACAGAGACAAGGAGTTAATAAAAGCATTGTAAAAAAAAAGTTTTAAAAGACTCCTAAAGGTTTCAAAAAAAAAGTTCAGTAAATTAACAATACACTAGCCCACAACCTATTGGGTTTAAATGGGCAATTTCGATAATCCAACGAAAGTGTAACCTATTTTAATAGGGGTAGTGAAAACAGCCAAATATTTATTATTTGAGTATTACTATTAGACTTTTTTTTTTTTACATTAAAAACTTGTTAAAAAATAAAAAAAATTTTTTTTTAAATAAATAGCAATTAGTTTTCTCACTTTCCTGTGCATTGATAAAAACAGTAAAGTTCAGCAAAAACATTTGAAAAACAAATTTTAAAAATGTCCATGTGTCTAGCACAAATAATAAAGTATTTCCTTAATTCGCAATTTCCTTATTTGCAACTTTTTTCTGTCAGTATAGACAGAAAAAAGTTGCGAATATATAGTATATAAAAAAATGTTTTTATTTTCGCTAAACTCTTATCTCAGATAAGAAAAAAAGCAGATAATCTGCTTTTTTACTCAATTTGTATCAATTTTGGTAGTGGAAAATAACAAACACCCTTAAAAAAAAAGAAAAATAAAAACAGTAAAATATTTAGGTATATTATTTTTTGAGAAATCTTTCTTTTCTTTTTTTAATTTTCAATTTTTTTTTAGTTTATTTTATTTAGATCTCTATTTCATATAGTACTCGTTTCCTTTCATCGAGTGTTGCTGTTTTATTCTCTGTAGTTTCTTATAGCTTACTTTGCCTTAAATTCCTACTACATAAAAACGCGGTCAAGTTGTCTAAAAAAATTACTTTAAATGTGGACAAACAAGGCATGCCACCACACACGCATCCTGGGAAGGCTAGATATTGCATATTATATTTACATGTTAAAATACAATTATAGTATTATAATATATTTTACTGTAAATCATTATTAGATCATATTACATCTATTTGTTTATATTTATACATTAAACTTTTTTTTAAATATTTATGCTATAATTTTTAAAAATAATGTATAAATATTTTAAAGATATACTTTTATACTAGCGTGCAAAAGCCTTTGGTCGTACTCAATATTGTAGCAAAAATTTTTACTTTCTCAAGTGAACGTCTGGAATCCGCGTAAAAGCAAGTTGCGTGAAAATTGTTTTAATTTAAATTATTTACTATGTAAATATTATGTAATAATATTATCTATTATTAAATACAAGTTTTATTACTAAATATTTATTGAAGACATTTTTTTTTGCGTATTTGCTGAATTCTTAATTTTGTGCGCAGTAATATCTAGTTTATAGAACTTTTTAAGTCTGTTCTGGAAAGTTCTACGTATATATAAAAGCAAAAGTCCGCTCAGTTTAGTATAATAAAAGTCTTGACCTTGATCCAGTGAGTTTGTCTGTGTTGAGTTAATAGTTTAATTCGTGTTTAGCATTTTAACGTTTTCTCAAGTTTTGAGTGAGTTGCATTGTTTAAAATAATAATATCTATTTAAAATACAGGTTTTATTACTGAATATATATTGTCGACGGGTTTTTTATGTGTAGTTACCAAATATAATTTCTAATTTTGTATGCTTATTAACAGCTTGATATTGAATTTTTTTCTTAGCAAGACTCGAGTAAGCATGAGTTGAAATAAGAAAAGAATATTCAATTGAGCTATGTGCGAAAATTTAGACATTATCTGATGAAAGGTACTTGTGTAATAAAATAGCAAAAAGACTAAAAATTCCTACGTCAAGTGTAATATACACATTAACACGATTAAAAACAACAGGGGAGAACTCAAATAAAAACGCACAGAAAGACTGAGATGCACAACAAAGATGGAAGATAAACATATTGTAGTTGTGAGCATACGTAATAGACAACTTCCAGCCACTATGAATTAAGAATTGAATAAGGAAACAAAAAATCCAATATCAGTTGATACGGTCAAGAGACGACTACGTGGAGTTGGACTAAATGGTTGTATAGCATGTTGAAAACCTTTTTTACGGCGTGTTAACAAACAAAAATGGTTTAAATGGGCAAGAGATCATAAATCGTGGACATTGGATCAATGGAAAAAAGACTTTGGACTGATGAATCAAAGTTTAAATTATTTGGAACCAAAAGACATCTATATGTCACACAAATGGTAGGTGAACGTGTTAATGATATTTAATCAGTTGCGTATTTTAAAGCATCGCATTGTAACTACATTTAATTTGAAACTACGTTAAAAATCATTTAAAGTCTTAATATTTTTAAATTAAACAATATTGTTGTAAAAAAAATTATCAATAAAATTTAAATATGTTTTATAAAAAAAAAATTCCTTATTTTAAAAAACTTATACTATTTATTACTTAAAACATTCATGACACAACATTATTGCATTTTGTTTGCTTTCTCACGATTTAGTTTTTTTTTTTTTTAACAAGATGGGAACTGTTTATGGGTGAAGTTCTTAACGGTCTATTAATTAGTTAATTACATAATTTTTTATCAACTATAAATAAATTCTGATAATAATTTTAAACAAAGTATAGATAGAGTTCAATAAAATATTTGTAAACATATTACATGCTCATAAATAAAACCTTTGTCATAAGAACTTTTTGTGATATTGACTAGTGATTTCGTCGGTTATCCGTTTCAAAAACCGGATAACAGTTCTCATCAATTTGCGGTTAACCGACTATTTGGTAAATAAGTGACGCTTTCTGAATACAGGATCTTCTAAATTTCAATGAATGTAGCGTTTTAAACTAAATTTTTAAAAATTAATGTTAAAGTGTACATTTTCAAGACAGTGAATACAGTCCTATATTATATATTTATAAAAAAACATGGAAAAAGATATAATATGTCTTTTTCCATGTTTTGTAAAATATATATTATATATTTTTTATATTATAATATAATATACCTTTTTAATTATATAATTAAAAAAGGTAGGAATAATGTACAAGTATAGTTTAAATGTTTTAATATCAGCGGATGTTTTAAAATCATTCTCATATAAAAACATTTGATTTGGAAAAATGAGATGTTATGAAGTAAATTTTTTTAGCGTGTATTTTAAAAACTTATTGTTATGCAGACATAGATGGAAACTTGAAGATAAACTTGAATGTTCTCAAAACAACTTGTTGCGTAAAGATAATATAAAGAATATTTGCTAACATTAAAATACCGCCAAATCTACGAATAAACAAATTCTATTGGTTCAAAAAATATGCTGAATAAGCGAATTAGAGTTCCATAATAATCTGAAGAAACTTTCATAAAAATGTGTTGCTTGAGTTGAAAAAGTAATAAATAAATCTTTGAGATTTCTATTGTAATTTGTTTTAAGAATATATTATCAAACAAAACTGATTAAATTAACATTTAAATTAATAAAAGAAATATATTATAATCTTTGATAAATTAACATTTGTCAAACAATAATCGTCATAATTACGATGTTACTTTCTATAAAATTTCGTAAAATTTTTAAGTTGGTTTTTATTATTCGAAAATAGATATTTGATATTCGAACAAAATCCGGTTAACCGCAAAACCGGATAACCGGCGAAATCACTAATATTGACTATTATGTTCTAAATATTATTTGTATAAAACATGTTAATTCAGGTAATAATGGATAAAAATACTTATTGTTATAAGCCAAAATTAAATAATATAAAAAATGAGGTAAGTAAAAGCTTGATAGCACTTAAATCAACTTCAAAAGCGATTTAAACAAACTTTCAAAATTTCAAAAGTGTATACAAAATAAACAAACTTAAAAGACAATTATTACTTAATAATACACATAGTTCAAAAGTATAGGAGTTAGTTTTAAAATTAGCTTTGCCTGACTTGATGGACTTAGGTTACTTTCTTTCAACATTGTTTTAAAGCATGATCAAACTTTTATATATATATATATATATATATATATATATATATATATATATATATATATATATATATATATATATATATATATATATACACATACATACATACATACATACATACATACACACACACACACACACACACACACACACACACACACACACACACAAGTATAAATTAGGCACAATCAAACTATTTTAAACAAAAAATTATTTAAATTATTTAAACAAAAACAAACTTTTTGAGATCATGAAGTTCTTCTTCTTTCAACTCAGTTATCATTTTATCCAAATCTTGTTGTTTTTCATCTTCTGTTTTCTCTATTTCTTCAACTGCAATGTTTTCTTTACTTAAAATGTGAGAATATAGAAAAAATAAGAGTGAGAAAGTAACAAAAAGAAGAGATTCACACTTTTTTATATGCATAATAAAATAAAAGTATTTATTAATCTTTATATTTACCTTTCCTCTTTCTCCAGTTTAAAATCTTTCCTTATTTTTTTTCTCCATGTAAATAATAATCTAAAAATAAACTTTTTTTTATATTTTACACTTTTCCGTGTTATTTCAGTTAACCATCATTACTTTTTTTTAATACTTTTAAATATTTTCTTATTGTAAATCGTAGTTTTATTTATTTTTTGAACATATTTTAACTCATAGTTTTCTATAACTCATAGTTTGGTATTTAATATTTAATTTCATAGTTTATTCCATTTTATCAACTCTAATTAATAAAAATTACATAAATTATGAAATTCATGAACAATGAAATTTCACTATTTTAACAATTTTCTATTAAGCCATATATAAGTTGACCTTTGTAAATTAATTAAAAACTAATTAAAATTTGCATTTGTAACCTAATTAAGTTGAACTTTTATCTTAACAACAAAATACTTACACAAGAGCTGATGAAGATCATTTTGTTTTGAAAAACAAGTTATTTGAATTCTAAATATTTTTTCTGTTTTTGTAAATATAATCATTAATATGTGTTCAATAGAAACATTATAACCATTTTGTTTATAAGAGATTTTTATACAATTGTCTCTCTATATCTAGATAGACACGATTAGATTAGAACACTAAATTTATGATGTGAATTAAGATGTGAATATATGGTTTATTTAGATATGAATTTATGAGGTTACTTTCTGAAGTGAGTAACCCCATAAACCATTTAAAAATTTGTAAAACAAATAAGTAAATGTTTTAAAATAATGAAAAAAAAAAAAGTTTTAAATAATCTATAAATCATAATTATTTATTTTTTTAATTTTCAATTTTTTTAAAAAAAAAAGAAGATATTTGTTAACAGCAAAAAAAAAATATTACAAAGAAACTACACAAGAATTTAAGAAATTAAAGACATTTTGGGTTTTTAAAAACGAAAAAAAAAAAAAAAAGAAAACATGAGAATTATATAGGTTAAGTTAGCATTCATAACTTTATTATATTTTTGATTGTAAACACAATTTTTCATTTTTTCCACCAATTAGAGAACTTAGTTTTCTACAAGTATAAAGTTTTTTCTTATTATATGGGGGAAAGAAAAATCAAGAAGAAGAAAAAAGAAATCAATTATATATAGAGAAAATCTGTTTACTCAAAAAAAACTAAAAAACTAAATAAATCATTTATTACTCAAAATTGGAACTGATAGGTATAAACTTTTTAGTACAGAAAAATGTTTTGAATATCTGATAGCAAAACTACAATCTTTTATATTGAACTTTTTGCTATGGATAATTGTCACATTGCTGGAGTAGACAGTTTTATGTTATATTGTTGTTGTTTTTTTCACTTTTTTTTTCAAATTTTACTGAAACTATCAAAACAGTTGTTTTTTTACATTTCATTCTTTTTTAACTGCTCAAACTTTCTCAATTGTTTCAGCTTTGGTCAAAGCTTCCTCTTCAATTCTTGATTTGCTTCTTTTTGATTTTCATTTGTCAGATTTTATTAATTATTCAAGTATTTTAAAATTTTTTCTAGTTTTTATTAAATAACTTTTAAATTAAAGAACCTTGTTTTTCTTAAATAAGCTTTACACAGGTCAGAAATTTAAGTTTAAGTTTACTATCCGAGTACCCCAAAAATGTTAGCAAATATAATAAGTGGGACATCTGGACACTTCATTTTCATATTTATCAAAAATCTGGGAGGTATCACATTTCATAATTATACTGACAGAATGTTGAAGTTTATTTAAAAAAAATTTTATATACCAACTTTTCAAGGTCTTTAATTTAATATTTATACATAAACATTATTAGAATACACAAAGTTGGTCAAAAAAACATTTTTTATTGAAAATATTTCTTTTTGACTAGGCATTTTTATTTTAATTTTATTATAGATACCTAATATATTGAATCTATGGCTCCTCTGCTCTCTAAGGAGAAAAGAGAATGCCATTTTAAAAGAAATCATATACTTTTTCAAAAGATCATTTGCTGTTGCTGCCTTGAAAAGAACAACAAATGCATTCCAGTTAATAAAAATTTGGAAGGTCTGGTTAAAGTTTTCTGTAAGTCTGAGTTTTCACTTAAAGTATTTGCCTACCCTACAGGATTATGCCCAGGTTGCAAGAAAAACTTATATCTCTGTAAGGCTGGTAAAACTATTGCAGACAGTTACTTTAAAATGGAAAAATTCTGATTTGTCTTGCAAACCTCTAGAGATTGCTCAATATTATGCAATATATGCATAATATTGAGCAATCAAGTCAAAGAAGAAATAGATTATTAAATAAAAGTATGAAAAAGGGAACTAGCTCAACACTGAAACTTTGCCAAATATGTTTCTGTGAAATTGCTAAAGGTAAACCCCACAAAAGTTCCCCTTTAAAGAGTAGCACAAATTTTTCTGAGAGTATTTCTAAAATTTCTAAAAAAGTAAAAGAACAAGTAGCAGGTACAAGGAACAAGTAGCTTCTTCCCTTCTTAAAGAAATTTATTCTGATCAAGAGTAAAGTTTAGGAGCTCAAGCCATTCTCAGAACAGGTAAATAGCTGTTATGTACGTTCTTAAAATAACAGTTTATATTACATTAAGGAGGTAAAAGTATTCATATTACACTCGGTACTCGGGAAATTGACCAGAGAAAGATTCCTTATAATGAAGTAGAAGTTTTGGTAAATACCTTAGGACTTAGTCAATTGAAGTCAAATGAAATGTTAAAAACTTTGAGGAGAAGTGGTGTAAAGTTTGAGTCAAACATGGAGAAAGCCCTGGATGAAAAAATAAACTACTTTCCAACTTTTATGTCACTGAATTATTAGACTTTCAATAAAAAGAAAAAGATAATGACTATGCTACAGTAAAGAGACACTTGGTATATATTGAAGATATTACAACATTTCTGGATTTTGTAATAAAATATTGAGGGCAGGTTCCACAAAACACATTTGTAAAGGTTGGAATAGATTCAGGTATTTATATTTAATTTATATTACTTATTATATTTTAATAATCGTCTTTTTGAAAACTTGTTTTTAAAAATATTATTTGTACATATTTATATACAAATATGTATGTGTGTAAGTATATATATATTTATAGGTGGAGGATCACTGAAAGTTATAGTAAATCTGTTTGATCCAACCAAGGACAGGACAGAAGATAGCAGCTCCTTAGGATCATACTCAGGAGCAAATACATCACTTGTTTTAGCTTATTGTAAAAGGGTAAGTGAGAATCATTCTAACATCATTCTAAGTGAGAATCATTCTAAAGTTGCATGAATGCAAGTACTCATTGGCTTCTGACATGAAGTTAATCAACATATTGCTAGGAACTTCGGTGTGTTTGTTTTAAATAATTTTAAGATAATAAGACATATTATGGTAAAAACTATATTAGGAAAAGGTTTTTTTTACCCTACAATATATTTATAAATTGAATTATAATATAAAATTTTAGGCTCATGGAGGAAAGTATGCTTGTGCATGGTGTGAAGGTTCTTCAGAATTATTTTCTGGAGAGTTGAGAACATTTCAATCTTTGAATAATTACTATGAACTATATTCATCTGCAGGATCTCCAGTGAAAAGAATGAAAGAATATAAGGTATAAATAAATAAATATATTGTAAATATTTTCAAAATTTATCATCCATTATAATTTTATCATTTTAAAAAGAATAAAAAAAATTATTTCCATATATTTAGAATGTTATTAATCCTTGTCTGCTTAAGATAGAAGACAAATCCCTAAGTATAATAAGAGAGATTCCATTACCAGGACTTCACCTTCTGATGGAATTTGTTAACCATGTAGCAGAATTTATAATGCAACTTTGGCCTGGATTTATAGATTAAGTCAAGAGCATTGGATGCCTTCGAAAAGATTACTATGGAGAAACATTTGAAGGAAGCACGTGTAGAGAGATACTTAAAAGTTGCAACAAACTTGAGTTGATAATGCCTGTTAAACTGTATCCTCTCTTAGAAACAATGAGAAAATTTAATAAGGTTGTTCATAGTGTCTTTGGCTATAAACTTGACCCAAACTATTCAATTTTAATTGAAAGTTTTACACAAAGCTATAAGGATGCGCAAGACTATTGCAGAGAGGTAATTGCTGTTTTCTTAACCCTTTGTATTTAAAACCAAGTTATTGATAAACATATTTATAGTAAGCTTTTTTAGTTTTTAGGTAAACAGCTTACGCTTACTTGGAAAGTACATGCTGTAACAGCACATCTGGAAATATTTGTTGATTTGAGTGGTCTTTCCCTTGGTTAGTTTAATGAGCAGACATCTGAATCTTGCCATTCCAAGATGAAAAGTGTAATAAACAGGTTTGGAGTCTCGCAGTACAGCAACAAACATAAAGAAAGAAGCAAAAGAATTGCTGAAGTGTTCAGTTCAAATAATTTATAAGTTATTGAACATTTATTGTACATCAAAACATAAACATTATTGAAATCTTAAGTTAAAAAAATTTGTAAATTTATTCAAAAAGACATTAAAAATATAAACAGTTTTTGAAATATTTTATTTAGTATTTATTATATTATTATTATTTATATATATTAGATTATTAGGCAACTATGCATACAATACTAATATTTTACTAAATTACTTATCAATATGTTCTACTTTACTAAGCATACTATGTTCCTAATATAATTCAAGCATATCTAAACCTTTTTCACCAACTTAGATATATCTAAGAGCTGTCTAATGAAGTTGATGTGTAAATACAAAATTAAGAGCATAAAAACTTGGAATATAAAGTTATTTTATGTTAATTTTACTGTTCCGCCTGTTTATCTGTTTTTTGTTATATTTAGTTTTTTTAAGTACGAAAATAATGACTTTTTTAGCAGATTTTCTAAAAATGTGATACCTCCCAGATTTTTTTAAATATGAAAATGAAGTGTCCAGATGTCCCACTTACTATATTTGTTAACATTTTTGGGGTACTCGGATAGTAAACTTAAACCTTAAATTTCTGACCTGTGTTTAATAACACGTTGCGTTTGAAAAAAAATGAAAAAATTCTCTATAAACATTAGTAATTAATATAAGTACAACTTCATTGCTTAAAAACTTAATAGTTTTCTAACTTTTTATTTTTATTTATAGATTTAAATTCTGATGCAAATTTGAAATAAAGCAAATAAGAAATAAATTGTTAAATAATCTGAAATATATTTTAAATTTGTCTACAAAATAATCCATTTTTGTCAGACTCAATCTATTCAACATCAACTTAAATTATTAATTAAACTACAATTAAAAGCACAACCTTTTGAAAAATGAATCTTGATAGTTTTTTTTCTGATTTCGTATTTTTTATCTATAATTTAAAACTAATTTAAAAGTAAAAAAATAATTAGCAAAAAAGCAAATTTAAAACAATGCAAAAAATTGCAATTTTTTTATATTCGTCAAACTAACATGATTTTTAAATAATTTCTTTCTACTAATTTGATTTTACCCTTGAAGAAGTTCTTTCTATTAATTTCTAATAAGTATGATAAAAATGTTTGGAATGGTTTCCAGAACATTTTTCATTTAAACATGACATTAGAAAAACAAAAATTATTTTTTATAATTAGATGCTCTTCCTACTAATCATTACTAAGGTCCCCCTCTAACCTTACCAACAATTAAATTGGGGTTTTACTTCACGTGGGTATGTTGCCTTCATCATGACTAAAATGCCTCACCCACTTCAACATGAGACTAGTTTAACATTAAATTTAATCCAGAGACCTTTTTTTGGACAATCTTATTCTGCTATCTTATGAAATAATTTTAAATCTATTCACAAGGGTTAAAAGCCATTCTATTCTTAAAAAATTTCCTGATACTTTTATATAAGAACTTATTTAAAAAAAAACAAAATAAAGTATAAACATAAAAGACCATCACACAAATTTTAAACATTTTTTATTTTATTTGGTTTTTATGCTAAAATTGTGTAAAACTGAATATTAAGAAACATTATAACAATATTTTGTATTATTTCTCTAAGGTTTCCTTGAACCATCTTTCTGAGTATAGAATACTATTATCGTATCTTTGCTGTTCTTTCTCTTTTAGGTTTTTTTTAAACAAATAGAGGATTGTTGGTAGTGATCAACTAAAACAGGAATTATGCCAAAATAAAAATAAACTGAAATTTCTGGTACACTAGTTCAATACCAAAACCAACATTTTGGCAAACATTTTACCAATTTTAATACCAAAATTTTAAAAATATAATCTAAAAATACAATTTAACATCTGCTTTTTATTTAGATTTGCTTTTTTTTTTGACATTAGTTGTTTACTTTTTGACAATTTCTTTCCATCTTATATAATAATAATAAATTCAGTCATAAATAAAAATAAAAATCATAGAAAATATATAAAAATAACTAAAAGCTTACTTAGACAAAATATTATCTTTTTTTACTTTCTATTTAAACTATTTAAACCAAATTTGTTTTCTTAAAAAAAAACATTACCAGAGCATGATTCAATATATCAAGCATACTGCAATTGTTTGATTATTTGCAGCTTTGATATTTTTAAGAAGCATATCGATAAGAGCTAAAAAATTAATTTGTGAACAATAAGCTTATTTATTAAGAAATGGTGAAATATTTTCTGGAAATTGTCAAAAATAACTATTTTTCTAAATAAAATAAAAATTTATAATTGTGTGAAATTAAAATTTTTTCAACCAAAATTTTGCTACTTACCAAATTTATAAAAAGTACCGAAACCAAAATTTTGGAATAAGTTCAAATAAAATTTTTGCCGATACAGAAATTTGGTCAATCACTAGTTGTTGGACTCTTTTAACTTCTATGTTTCTTTTCTTTATTTTACAATTGTGTTCTTATTTTCTTTTCTTTATTTTACAAACGTGTTTTATTAAAATTTCATTACTGATTTTGATCTATTAAAATTCATTACTGATTTTGTGTGAAAAAAAGTTTTGATTCTTACTCTTTTTCAAGTACTCAAACAACATTTTTCTCTGTTTGTCATTACTTACTTTAACTCTCTTCTACCAAGTACTTTTATATCTTCACAACAAGCTTTAACTTCATTAGTTGTTGCTTTATGTTCTATAATTTTTTCATCTTGTATAATAATCTAAAAATAACAATTAAGTTAAATTTATTGCTATAAAAACATTTGTTATATACTTAAAAAAATGGCGCAATTAAAAATAAATACATCAAAACAACCAATCACAACAACTATACAATTTAAAACAACCAATCACAACAACCATACAATTTAAAACAACCAATCACAACAACATACAATTTAAATGCATCAAAATAAGTATAAAAAAAAAATAATAATAAAATATGGTAATCAGTAAAATGCAAACATTTTTGTAAACAAAAGCATATTTAAAGGAAAATATTTTAATATCATTTTAACATAATAACATATATAATTAACATACAAATATAGATATAATTGTTTTGCATATAACAGTGACTGACAATAGGTAAAATTAAAATTTAATGTACATTAACTCAGGATTTTGATAGTCATAATTACAGTGTTGAAAACATATACATTAGATATAACATTACCAATTACCATGATCCAGGAACTTATAAATGATCTGGTTCATATAAAAGTTTGCATTTTACCAGTTTGCAGTTCATAGTTTGTATTTTACTTAGTACCATCAAATACACCAATATACATATAGTTTTACATATACATCAATATACATATAGTTTTACATCAGAAATATTTTTTATTTACTATCTTATTTACTGAAAATTTAAAATTATTATTAAAATAAATTAAAATATAAAATTCACTTAATAAAAAAGGACTAATCAGCAAACAAACCTTGTTAGTTGTGGATAGTATTTCAACAGCATCACTTGATGTTATAAATTCTTTGTCAGTTATAGTGGTATGAAGCGTAATGTTATTTTCTGGATAACCCTCTCTTTGTCGAGTTACTTTCTATAAAATGAAAAAAAAAAAAAGAAATTGATTATTCTATTGGTAAACCTGTCTTTATCGAGTAAAAATAAATTTTCATAAACATAATGTTGAAATTGCTACAAAAGTATTGCTTTTAAATTACAAAAAGTTTCAATATTTAATTGACTATAAAAAAAGAGAACTTTGGTTTCTATATATTTGACATAATTTGCTGCACTTACCAGGCGTTTATACAAATATTATTATAGATTGATTTAACATATTATAATTTTATGTTCTGTTATTACATAATAAAATTAATATTATGTTTCATAAAATAAAAAAACTCATACTAAACCAGTTTTAAAATTTTATTTCAAGAAAAATTGTTATATTCTCATTTTCTTATTTAAACAAGTCTGGCCAACCAATCATAATATTGAAACAAGTCAAGCCAACCAATTACAATATTTGAACAACCAACCAATCATAATTTTATTAAAGTCAAATAGACAGTACTTTTGTCATAATATAAACCAAAACACTTTTTAATTTGTAAAGTATTAATAACTTAGGTAGTGTTGATAACTTAAGTAGTTAATACCTTAACTAACTTGTAAAGTTAGTTACCAACCTTGTAAAGTTTTTGTTATTTTAATACTTGTCGTATTACATCATTTATTTATTATAGTTAAGATTTTTTCAGTAACAAGATAGATCTTTTCAGTGATAAGATTGATCTTTTTAGTGATAAGGTCTGATATGGTTTTATGATTTAAACTTTAGTGCAGCCATACGTAGTGCTTAGAGTTCTGGCTCAGAACCAAGAGGTCTGTGGTTCGATGCCGGCTCTAGTCCAATAAGCAACATTGGTAAGGAAGGAGGCGTGAACTTCCAAATTAAATGCTCTACTATGGTGCTCTGTGATAAGGATTTCTGGGAGCACTTTAATAACTACAAAAAAAAATTAAGCGCTTTATCAACAAGTGCATTATATTTATACAGCGTTCAAAATAGTTTTTCAAAGCTTGTCAATCAAATGTAATTTTTTCATTAAAACAGGTTATTTTCCCTTGAATTTTTTTCAAAATTTTCCTAAAAATAGCTGATCATTTATATTACTTCGAGCGCTGTATGTATATATATATATTATATATATATATATATATATATATATATATATATATATATATATATATATATATATATATATATATATATATATATACATATACATATTTTAACATATATGTCTGTGTGTACTGATGTTGTTTTGCACATACTTTCAAGAAAGTGCTCTATGAACTAAATATGTATTCAAAATAAATCTGCATGCTTTTTACTACAAAACAGTCCGTCCTGAGTTAAATCGTCTATTCTAAAAAAACGAAGAGTTGTTAAATAAAAGTTAATTTTTAAATGCTGTCACAAGAATTAATTTCTATTAAGCAATGACAAATCCGATGATTAAATCAAATGGGACAATCCATGCACTCAACAATAATCTAACACACTATTGTATTTTTTTTTGTATATAAATATTTTTAATGGAAAAAACCATATATTCTACCTGATGATTACATATAGAAACTAATATTAGTAAAAATTATGTAGTTTTATTTTCAATACATAAACCATCAAAGTTGCCATACTGAACTATTTAAAAAAAATAGAAAATACCAATTTAGTGACCCAACATTCAGCAACAAAACAAAAAATTAAATTAAATCATATTTAAAAAAATTCCTTTATGTATTTACTCGTATATTTTAGGGTTTGGGTTTAATATTTGTTATTGTATTGGTCATTAAAGGTTTACTTTCAGTTTTCCAAATTACGATAGAATCAAGTTTTGTTAGGAAAAGATTAGGTAAAAAATATCACCTAGACTGCAATGAACCAACAGTCTAACACCCCACATTTATCACGGTGTGGTCAGTAATAAATTTCAAGGACACTGGGCAACTTCAAATTGTCAAAGGCACAATGTGTCAAAAAAACCAGCAAGTTTTTTATTAAAAAAAACTTAAGGATTTGAATAGGCCTGGTCCTGATATTTGAATCAACATCCCGGCTAAAAATGAGACATTTTACAAATTTGGCCCTTACCTTGTTTAAACTACAAGATTTAGCAGGGGTTGATAGCCGAAAAATAGGGCTAGTAAAAAATTTATACTACTTTATATATTGTAAATTTATGCGTACATTTACTATTTATTAAATACTGGCATATATATATATATATATATATATATATATATATATATATATATATATATATATATATATATACAATATATATAATATTTATATATATATATACTAATTTACTACTGAGAAGGTTGCAAGCAGCCACTGAGCAAGCCAACATGGTTGCAAACTATTGAGTTATGAGTTAATAATAAATGATAGTATCAAAAAGAAAGAAAACAGTTAACTTATATTTATATTTTGTAAACAACTGATTTTGTTTTTATGCTGCGGTCCATTAAAAATCACAGCAACAGTTAAATTTGTTTTTTTTGTTCGAAAATTTTTTATTTAAAGTGACGCGCCAAATTGCGGCGACGCCTCCAAAAGTTTCGCCATAATAAATTTTATTTTGCTGAAATTGTTCAAGAAACTTGGCAAATCATGGTAAAAGTAGTATAATATTGCATTGTCATCGGCTTCTGAGCTATAGTAAAAGTTTCAGAGCTCTAGCTAATCGAAAAGTGGGTTAAAATTAAGTTGCAAAATTCCACCTGGACAAACAAACAAACAAGAAAGCGAGCTAATAAAAACGTGGTAAAAAGAGGTTGTATGTAAAGATAAAGTGTATATAAAGATAAAAATGTAGGTTTATGAGTCAGAAAAACATGAAGATGGGTGACAGTTTTGAGGTTTTGTTGATGTGTGAGGAAATAAACTAGATGAATAAAACTTATTATAGCATGGAGGGACAGATACAGTAAAAGGATGTGATTTTGCTAAATGACAAGACAAGCAAGATTGAGTTTTGGTTTATTGAACTAGAGATGATAGCTTGTTTGAGCAGTGACCATGATAGTATTTGTAGAAAAAAAGGAAGAGAGGCAACCTTACAACAATGAGAAAGTAGCAATCCAAAAGCACATTTACAAGGAGCTTTTGAACCTTGTTTGAGAGTGAGAGGGCTGTTATTTGTCAATTCAGGAATGTCAACAGTGTTGTAATAGTTATTAGCAGTAAATAACTGAGTTATGTTGGAGTTAAAATCCATAAGCCATTGCAAGCTTCAAGCTGTTTCAGAAAAGTGATCAGATTAAAGGTCAGCTGCTTGTTCTAAGCATTTAGAAAGAGAAGACTTTTTTGTCAAGACACGAGTATAATGTTGAAATCGTAAGCAACAAGAGCCACTTTAGAAGTAAGATTGTCAAGAAGACTGTTATTGTAGATAAGAAACAATGTAGGAACAAAGATAGAACCAAGCCTTTAGTACTTCTAAATTTACTGGAAATGAAGAAGAGTGGAGGTCTTCAAAAAAAATCACTTTAATACTGTGGTTAGAATAAAATAATTTAATAATCTTAAAATTTTTATATGAAGTAACTAAGAGAAGACTAATCGAATAGTTAGAGAGAATGCTTTTTAAAGTTTTTAAATATTGGAACCACTTATTTAGCACTTAATAATAGTTTAACGAGGATTGAAGAGAACACCTTTGTAGGACTACGATAGAAATGTTGTCTGAACCACAAGCCGTAGAAGATTAAAATTGAAAACTGACTTTAGCATTGGAACTAGAATGGCAGGAAGAGTATGGCCCTTAGATTCAAGAGTCAAATTAGAGAAAAAGTTCTTTGCAAATAACTCTGCCTTATTCCGGGGAGATGTAATAAGATCAGACCCATGAATTAGAGATGGTATGGTAAACTTACTTTAGTTAATGATGCTGTTAATGTTAAAGATTTTCAAAAAGTAGAACTTAACATCTGTGAGAAAATTTAGTAAATTGAAATAATGGAACTTTGCATTAGACAGGACCTTTTTACATTAACATCTTGCAATAATAAAAAGACATTTGTGTTCAATAGAGGTATTCTTGTAAAACAGACAAAAAAAATGATAATAGTGTAATATAGCAACTGCACAAGAGGGTGAAACTGTGGAGTAGATTGAGACTTGATTTAAAACCAAAGAATAGGAAACTAAAGAAATAAAATCTTCCATACCTTATTAGAGGTGCATTTATGCATACATAATATGGATATAAACATATATGTTTATCATTTATTTAGATGTTGGCATACAATATCTTTACATATTTATATAACTTTTAATATTTATACAGGGTTGACCGGGAAGCAGGTGCGATCGCACTCTATTCCTGACCACGCAAATTTTATTAAGTTGCGACAACTTGGCCACAGCTTTTTAGATGTTTTGAGAACATTTAAATTTATGTATGTTTCCATGTATGTCCGAAACAATTTGACACCCTAAAACAATTAAAGTTGTAAATAAACTTTAGTAATCACACGTTTTAATATTAGCAATGCGTTTTTAAACTAAGCGATGATTCACTTTTATTTTTTATTAAAATTTTTTAAACTTTATGTAGTTAGTGAGTTTTATTAAAAAATTTTTAATAAAACTCACATTAGTTTTTAACTCTTTAAATGTAAGTCTTTTAAAAACAAATACTTGAATACAAATTCAACAAATAAAAAATTTGTACGATCGATTAAAAAAAAAAATAAGACTTTCAACAACAACTGCATTTTCAATAAAGTTTAAAAAATAGTAATCAATAAAGTTAATAAAATTAATAATTAAATGCTTAAAAACATACAGAAACAAACAGAGCTAAATAAACATACAGGAACAAACAGAATCAAATAAGCATACAGGAACAAACAGGATCAAATAAATATACAGAAACAAACAGAATCAAATAAACATACAGAAAAAAACTGAATCAAATAAACATACAGAAACAAACAGAATCAAATAAACATACAGAAACAAACAGAATCAAATAAACATACAGGAACTTACAGAATCAAATAAACATACAG